ATAATTAATATAATTATTAATAAGAAAATATTAAGATCTCTCGAAATAAGTTCAATACATTTTGATTTCTCATTTAATAAAAGAGAAATTTAATTAAAATTTAAAGAAATGATAAAAAAGTAATCGTACCTTTCCAATTTGGTATATAGTGTCCATTATTTAGAATGAGCAATTCTGGAATAACGACATTGTTGTGTCCACTTCTTTTGTTAACAGCCCGAAACACTCAGAGAATACTTTGTAGACGAATAGTTCGAAGTGCTAAAACAATAGCGATTTTAGAGAAAAATGAGAAGTTCGTATTTTCATTAGCATTTGAAATCGGCGCTTTTATTAAAAAATATTTTTACTTAAAAGAACTACTATATACTATATATTCACCTACATCACATTAAAAAGAGACTTTTTCCCCTTTTCCATGTTGAGAATTTTTCTTTAAGATCTGATTATTGTAATTGTTTGATAATGCTCATCCAAAGCTGAAATATACAGAATATGTGGTACAGATTAAAATTATATTTTCAAAAAGGCTTAAATATACATCAGGTAAATAGTAATAAGTAATTATGGTAAAAGCACTATTATTTTTATTACTGATATAATTGAACTGATAAAGGAAAAAAATAATAATTTCTATCGTTATCATGTGGTGAGTTGAGAGCCAACAAGTCGTCCAAATCGATTCATATTTTGAAAAATATGACATGATATAGGAAAATCCGTACAATTTGCATAGAAATTATAAAATAACTCCAATAAATGCAGTTTAAAGCTTGTGGGGATGTTACGTTTAGAACTATTTTCAGAGAAGCAAGCGATAATAAAAATGACGCCAAAGAAATGTGTAATTTATATGTTCAGGTAACTTTTTGCTTTATCAGGGTTTTTTGCAGGGTTTAGCCTGTGCATTGATGAGTAATGAATTGAGTTAGGGCTTTTGTTTATAGATTTATAAAATATGAAAAAGCGGCTCAATATATTTGTATGAACTTTTGTATATTACGTTACATTTTTAGAAGATGATGCCGACCTTTGATGATTGTGTCTACTTAGATTATCTCATGCTCTGTTCTCAATTCTGCACGTATATAAAAAAAAGAAAATAAAATGTTAATGTTAATTTTAAGTCAACTAACAAATTTGGCAAAATTATTAAAAATAATAAAAACAAAATCGAAAATTTATAAAAATTAGGTGTTTATAAATTAAATTGCGGTTCCTGTAATAAATGTTACATTGGACAGTTGGAAATTCTTATTATTGCTTGTTAGAAACGTGTATTATATATTTAACTTTAAATTTCAAATACTATATAATTTGGAAAAAAAGGGCAAAATGCTTTCGAATTTTTAGAAACAAACAAAACTAACAAACTATAATACAGACTTGCTGTTAAATGACCAAATAGAATAAATAGTATACGTATCCATTATCTCCCCGACAATTAAAACTAAATAATTACGAATTTTTTGAATTTATCAGGTAAATATAATTTATTATTGTAATATTCCGACGTTTTACTGTAGATTATAAGCTTCTTTTGGGACAAGTCATTAGTGAGGAATGATATATTGTTCAATCCTCATCCTTCCCTGTGGAAGTTCATGATGTTGAAAGAGACATTGGAATAATAAATTATATTCACCTGATACGTTCAAGAAATTATTTAGAATTAAATTTTCACCCCTCTTCCTACTTTTACATACAAACTACCATAAAGGGAAGGGAAATTACCAGGGGGGTGGGCCAAAGTAAAGATTGTAACAAGAATAAAAATGTGAGGATTTAAAGTAATGACAAATATTTTAGAGAATATGATTAATTATTAGGCTGATAACGAAAATAAATTAAAGGGAAGTTAGGCAGGATTTAGAGGAAAGAGAAGGACGAGAGATGATGTAAATAATAATAGGTTAAAAGCAATGAAAGTTTAAATAAATTTACAGACAGGCAACGGCGAAGATAGAGATGTATGGAGGAGTATCAGCGGAATTTGATACTAATATGGGAGTAAGTCAGGGGTGTGCTTTCAGCTCCATGCTGTTTGATAAATTTATTGATGGTATTGGTAAGAAATGGATACGAAAGTAGGGAAGGACGGTGATAGCAAAAAATTAAAATAAGATCGTTAAAGTATGCAGATGGTATTACAATAACAGCTTGAAGAAATAAAAAATAAATTTAGAAAAAATATATATGCAAAATATTTACACACAAAAAACTAAGAGTTCTTTCGCCACAATTATGATTTCAATTTAGGAAAATAATATTATTTATAGAGATCCCACTTTGGAAATTATTATTAATTAATGGAGTACTTTAACAACGTTTTCTTTAAGATTATCATTGAGAGTAGTTACGGGCAAATGTCACACAATGACTACTCCAGGAATGCTGAGTGTGCAATGATACTAAGGGCAGAGTCTCACGACAGTACAATTGCTAGCATAAGTTTGTCCCAAAATAATTAGATGAACACTGAAGGGCAGACTCTCACAACAGTGCTCAAAACACTCGTAAAGAAATACTAATACGTTTACATCGAAATTATGGTCATAGCTTTATATTATGTGAATGAATTAATTCATCTTATATCGGTAAAGTTTAGTACATAATAAAAACTTAGTATCTAAATTTTAACATAAACATTACTCTGTGAGAAAACTCACCCGATTAGATTTATCTATATTTTTGAAACACAAATCACAAAAGCAACTATCCACGTTAACAGTTGACTAAATAATGTTGCGCAATTTTAATTTCTTTCTTTTCCTTGAGAGAAGAGATGATTCATTTATTTAATAATATTTGTATCGATAAACACATACTACGAAAGTACAAAAAAAAATGAATAGCGTCTTACAGTATTTATTTGGGTTTCCGGTTTACAACAAATAATACCGTGAGTAAGGATATAAAAAGGATGACAGGAAAAGCTGAAAAAGCAGGTAATTTTACATGAAAAGAGTTCGTAAATAAAGGGGGAAGATCGTATGTTTCTAAAAAATTCTACTGTCAGGGCGATAATTTTATAGGGGTTTGAGTAAAGTAAAAGTAAGATATTGTAAAATGGCGTCGGGAGCGGCAAAAAATACGCCAGGGTATACACGGAGAAGGGTGTATTAGGTATGGAAAATGATAGGTGGCCAAAGACATACATATCCAATAAAGGAAAGGAAAACAATCTTAAACAATAAGCCGTTTAAGTCGGGTCAGAACGTGTAGAAAGTATTACAGGAAGCAGACGTGGTAAAATTTTGTCAAATGATATGGGAGAGAAGGGAAGAGGTAGAAAATTTTTAGCAGAATTAGGAAAGGGTTAAATATATAACGAGATAGAAAGGTAGATAAGGAGTGGTATTTTGGATAGTATAAAGTAACGCCATATAGAAAGGGCTTTTGAAAACAGGTTATATGGGGATAGGTTTGTAGATTATGTGAAACAAAACAAGAGACGCTTGCCCATTTGTATGTTGTAAAGTGGTAATAGGGCTACAAAAAGATGAAATAAGAAGGTTCATGGATGAATGAAGAGGTGAAAGGGCAGAGGAGGATATATAAGAGAGTTAATAATTGAGAAATTAAGAGGCGAATTGTGTGAGAAAATGTGTGAGCTTTTTAAAGGGGTAGAGGCAATGATAAGAGAGTAAGCAGACGTAAATATGATAAAAGTTAGAGAGTAAATGAAACTACGGAGGGAGAAATTCAAATGTTGAGTTTGTAATTCCACGAGAATTTTTGTTAAAATAAAGTATGTAAGGTAAACTAAATGTAAGTGAAGAAATTACAAAAACCTGTAATACATAAAAAAATAATAAAACATTATTATTATTATTGTTATATAAACTGCCATGAAAGGAATGGTTTAAGGTAAAAAAAATTGAAAGTAGACCTAAAGGAAATGGTACTAGAGGACTTGGAGATAGAAAAGAATGTAGGGAAACAAGCAAAGGAGCAAAAAAAAGATTGAGGAGATTGGAAATTGAACTGGAAAATAGAAGAAGGGGAAGATAAAAAAACAAAGCCTGATGTTTTTTGGAATAGAGTTGGAGGAGAATAAAGAGAAGAGAGGGTTGGAAAGATTTATAGACGAGAATATAGGACTGAGGGTGGAAACAAAGAAGTACGGAAAAGTTAAAAAGGTACATGGGACAAAAATGGAGAAGTGGGAATAAAGCTACGTATGGTCAGAAACAATAGAATGCTGAGAGGAATGACTGTGGAAGAGAGAAGAATACAAAAAATGTTGTAACAGATGATGAAAAAGGAGAGAAAAAAGTGGATAAAAGGGTTAAAGTGGGGTACAAGGTGATCAGAGATGTTACATTTAAAATGCAAATACCAAATAAAGAATACCTATTTTTATCTTGCATTTAAATACTTTTTTGAGAAATGCATTTTGTATTTTATTTAANTTGATAGATTTCAATCACTAATGGGTTGGGGAACTGCTTTAATATCTTATCGTTTAGTAAAGTTCACAGGGTGTAACAGAAATAATTGTGGAGCTTGAAGGAGGTGACAGGGCACTATAAAACAAGAAAATTATTTAAATGTTTGTTATGTCCTAAATTCCACCGTTTTCGAGAATAACGTCGTTGAAAATGCAGGTAAATTCAAGTCCGGCTCTGATGACAAAGAAATACGACAACGCAACGTCGAGTTCAATGTTCAAACTGTTTATGCTACAGCCAGTTGTCTATTGTTTTAATGTTTAAACATTGTATTTAGTTAATCGATCGGCAGTTCAATTAACTAATTCAGAAATTCAGCATCAGACATTGGAATAGGTCGGTATGCCAATGTAGAACAGTTGTTGTAACAATGGGACATGTTACTTATTTATGGGTTTGAATCTTATCGTCGCTGTAGAAGGCGTAATTATTGATCCCCAAAATTATACACGCGAAACAGCAGTAGGGAACGTTAGCTCCTCTCATGCGATAGTAGAGAATAGATAGATAGACAATTTTTAAAGGCTGCATCCTTATCATTTGCAACGAGTGCAGATCTAGCTTGAAACTGATTTTCAGTTGCGAGTGGATTTGTGTCAGTAGTTTCATCAGTAAATAATTAATTTTAGAAATCATACTAACATTAATCGAAAAATGAATCAGTATATGAATACTGCATGAATAGAAATTAAAGGAACTGCAAAAAAGCTAAATTTTTTTGGCTGCAAATTTAGACAAAGAGCATCAGTATAAGGTAATATAAAATGCAATATAGTCATCGTTCTGTTGTTGGGAGCAATAGAACTGGATACAACTCTATTAGTGTTTTAGAAGGGCTTGTTGAAACATTGCAGAGAGTAAGTTTAATCAAAAGTGTATCTAGAATGGCGCATACTCTTGAGAGGAATAAAAATAATAGGTTGGCAAAAAGTTAGAAGGATCGTTTAGCGAAATGGAATTAAACTCGTTACAGTGAGACCGATAGGACAACGACACATTTTCACATCTTCTTAACTAATAGATGAGAATTGTTTTTTGCATGTCGTCTGAAACTAAATGACGTAAGAAAAACTTTACTAGACAAAGTAAAAAAGTTGCTTAGTTACGTTGCGTTTTTTTTATCCTGAAACGTTAGTACTATGTAAATACTTACAAAGAGTATTGGATTATCAAGGAATTCCACCAGAGGGCTTTTAGTTCATTTTTTTCTATTTACTACAGTGTATCCCTTATTGTATTAGTGGACACTCTAGTGTAGGCAACTCTACACGTACTAGAAAGGTATAAGGGGTGACAATTGCCTCCCCCCCAGCCTGTCATTGGACTCAATACATGTTCTATATCAGAACCAAAAAGTTATAGATGAATAATGTATATATGTATAATGCATGTGAAAAATGAGATACTTTATAACAAGGAATGGAGTCGGACATAGATATTCGCTAACATAAGCATTTTCAATGTATGGAGAAGGAAATGTACAAGATTTGCTAATAAACAATGGAACTTTTGTACAAGTAAATAAAATAACATTTAAAAGGTAGCTATGAATTTTGATTTGTTTTGTAAGTCGTTATTATAAAAAATATTCGCTAACATAAGCATTTTCAATGTATGGAGAAGGAAATGTACAAGATTTGCTAATAAACAATGGAACTTTTGTACACGTAAATAAAATAACATTTAAAATAATAAAAACAGATTATTTCTTGCGAAATTTTCCATTTTATTGTATTAAAGCCCGAACGCGCCTAGTGTTCGTGACTATACTGGTGACGTTATCGAAGATTCAAACGTTAAAGGCATCGAGCTTGGAGATAAAGCTCGCAGCGCAAAAAACATTTAATTGTATAAATATTGTAAAGTGACAAAATTCTCTGTATTACCGAATTAAAAATAAATTAAAAACTTACCTTACAAAGAAACGCTAAGATCCATTTCATCTCGAGATAATTCTGCAATAAAAAAGAAAAACAGGGGTTACAATTGAAATAAAAATTAGAAAAATACTTAAAATATATAAAAAACAATTAAATAATTCTTATAAAAGGTGCACTACTGCTAAGAATTATTCTTTTACGGAATAAAGGTACTTTGTTATTATAAAAAGGTTTCAAAACAAAGCGAAACATGTTTCATTAATTGTTTGTTATAATTAATTAGTTTATTCACATTTACAAATACATGGGTACAAGTGAAATTTTCTTGTAATCGATATTATACTTATAACCCAAACATATTCTTATGAATATATATATATTTATTTGTAAGTACAAAACTACATTTTTCTTTAAAATTTTGAATAAAATCTAGTCAAGAATTAAAAATTCTATTGTATATTTCGACAAACATCAAATTTTATCATAAAATATTGAATATCCACACACGCAAGGTTTTTTAAAGGACAATGTATAGAGGTGACGATTACAATTACCTTCACAGAGATAACGAAACACAAGTACATACCAGCTAATAATATATTGCAGGAGAGTTAATTTTTGGGCAATGTATAAAAAAAGCTGTTCAGAATTTAATTTAGCGTAAATTCCGGAATTAGAACTAATAATATAACTACGCTCAAATAAAATTTCATGAAGGTGTCTTTAAATTGAAAAATGGAGATTTGTTTGAACATTTTGATATCAACTTGCGTTAGTTTGTTAATCCAGGTGAAAATTTTTTTGTACCTAATATAATATAAACTTTACTTTATAATGTAGGAATCTGTGCAATACCATGCGGACGACCGGGTATTCCCGTCGATGCAATATTTTTTTCTGTTAGGCATAAGAAGTTGGTCAAATATAGGCCACACACAATACCAATAAACTTTATTTTGTATTTCTTGTTAATTTTGAAAACAGAATTAGGTCAATTTTTATTTTGACGTTTCGGCTCCTTGGTTTTGGGCCATTTTCAGAACTATGTAATTAGAACATACAAAGGTTCTGAAGATGGCCCAAAACCAAGGAGCTGAAACGCCAAAATAAATATTGACTAAGAATCCATTAAGTTGTCTGCTTTACAAAACCCGATCACTAAGAAAAACATTTTAATTTATACTCACAGCAGACGTTAAGAAAGAAACAGAATTAGGTATAATTAGTTTTAGTACATTATCACAACAACCTGTCTCTAACTGGCGGTTAACTTAGAATATTAACAAATTTTTGATTACATCTAATTGATACGCTGTTTTCAAAATAAAAAGCTCTTTATTACCCATTAAGTACAAATCACATCTGGTTTATTATTACATTTTATCTCTTACAAAAGACAATAAAGAAAATATATCTGTAGTATTTGTTTTTAGTAGACTAGCAACCACACTAAAGCAAACAATGGCACATATTCCTCTTTATCATAATATTTTTAAAATGCTACTATTATTTTATAACATATAAAAGCTAAAAACGAAGAGACTGAATGGTAACATCTTATTAAATACATTCAGATCCCTCTATTCTGAATGCAGTAAAAATGAGATACTTGAAGAAGGGAAAATGGGGACAATGTGGAACTGGTTCAATCATCTTTAGGTCGTTGTCTACTGTTAATTTCCCTTTGACGAATACTTTCTTTTAACTGAGCCAGTTTTAGTCTCATCATTAACTGCCTTGACTGCCACAACCAACTTCCCTAAAAAGATTATTTCACTATTACTACAATACAGCAAGAAGTAAATGATCTTAGCTTTTAAACAATGCAAATAAACTTACGACCATTAGCATACAATTTAGCAAAATTGGCATAGAAAATACCACCGAAATAAACAGACCACTACTATCAAAGTACTGTTGCCTTGAAAATATCTTCCAATTGTTTGCAGCAATTTCATTTATTTGTTCTGAGAAATACACTAGTAGTACTAAAAAAGAAAAGGCATCATTATTGACTGGGAAACATTCAATTGAAATTGAGCACCTACATAAACAGAAAAATAAAACAGCTTGAAACGTGCCATACTGTCTTGTATAAACTGCCATAAATGTGATTGAAATGTGAAAAATTATTAATGCAATTAACCACGGATCCTTCCAATCAATCTAGGCAAAAATAAATTTCATTATTGTGTTTGGTATATTTTATAGTTATACTTACACTTAATAAAAACTTAATAAACCCATCTATTTCATTTATTTCCATGTAAGTATGTCCAGTCATTTTATTGTTTTGAGTTATATTTACTTTGCCTAAAAGTGGAAAACATAACCTATTACTGCTTATCAATATATTTATTTTTTTATTGGTCAAATAATTTTGTTCTTGGACTAAACTTAGTCCACCAACATTACTCCTTTTAAATTGATAGTGATTATGGCGCCATCTATATGTCCCAGTAAAGATTAAGGAAATATTAATTTTCTTTTTAATTTGTTGTAATACATTTGTTAATAAAAATATAGTAAGCACTTAGCAATTAATTAAAAACAAAGAGCAGGATTGTGAAGTTTGCTTATTATTTTGTAAATATAAATAATTAAAAAGCTTACAATTCAAGTATATTTAAGCACGTACAATTTTTATATTAAAAGATAAACAACTAAGTGATAGTTTCTCCAGTTCAATTAAATCTGTTTTATAAGAATAATTCTGTGTCTAAAAAATCAAGTTTCATTTTTCATTAAATAAGCATTTCAAATTTAAATAAAGTAATTTGCAATTATCAGAGCGGCTATTAGCTTATCAGAAACATTAAAAAGTGTATTTAATGTGATACTGTGGAGATTTGTTAAAGAATTTTAATAAATTATGGTTGCTTTACATAATAAGGAATATTTAACAATGAAACCAAAATTTGGGATTAAAGTTTATTTTGAAATGTTATGAAGTAAAAATTATCTTTTATCGGTAATAAGGGCAATCAATTTTTAAAACTACCCATTAAGTAAGTACAAATTTTGTTGTATATAGACTATTATCATTTTTAATTTCTAAAGAGAACATTATGTAAAAGAAGAATAAATTATTAATAATTTTGTGTAGGAATGAAGTTTAAAGTGCCTTTCTAATTTCTATGAAAGTAGGACATAAAAGTGGAAATAAACAAATGGCATTCAAGTTTATTAAAAGAATTTATTTTTCATGTTTATAAAAAAAGACTACCTACAATTATTTTAAGGCTTAGCTAATAACTCATATTTTCTAATAAATAAAGTATTCTTAGAATCGTGTTTTTAAGTAAGTAGTCCTTATATAAATAAAACGAAAAGTAAAAAAATGTCGAGTGTTTTTTGTATGGAAGTGTTCCTATACTACAACATTACTTTTAATTATTTATCGATTGGACCACTACGTTTATGAAAGAAATTCATTCTTTTGCAATGAAATTAGTTTCATGTTAGGAATATTTAGACGAATCCATTTTTTTTAAATATATATACTTATTTCTCCTTTTTAACACGGCCATACGTGTTAAGTTTTTTGATGTGTTCTACATGTTCCTCAATAGCAGGATACCAATA